GGCAGTGGACATCATACAAAATGAACATGCAGTTCTTTAAATGGAGGATTGGGTTGGAAGGGAAGACTAGGAGAAGGTTTTGAGTACTAATTATAACCCCTTGAGATATATTATGTGGAAATAGGGTGCATTCCATAACTAGGGGAACTTGACATACTTAGATAAAGCAACTTAATTTATAAGCTAAATTTTCATAACTAGCCTTAGAGGGCGCTTCGCGCCCATCTTCTAAATTAATTGTGAACATGTTCTCTTTGTGGACATCGTAAAACAAAACAAAAAAATTTTCACAAAAAATTTCGTGGATTTTCAAAATTTTTAAAAATTTAATGGAGATCGAATTTTGATGGAGACAAATATTTGAAATTTTGATCATTCATAAACCTTCCCTGGGGTCCCTAGATGTCCCACAAAAAATTTGGGCCCGATCGGTTCAGCCGTTTTGACGTTTATTGAATACAAACAGACAGACAGACAAACAAACAGACAAGCCAAATTTATATATAGATGTACAATAACGGTTTGCACTGTGCATTCTCATGTATATGAACTTTAGAATTAAGTAAATACAATGTACAGTTTTATACAGAATAAAAAAATGTAATATAATCATCGTATATAATATGTCCAGTTATATAATTTACAATATGATCATATGCATTTTTTTTTTCAATGTTTAATATGTGCTTTGTCCAGTGCTCAAACTTAAACTTTGTACAATGTAGATTTGAACTAAAGCAGTAATTAATGTAATTGTATATAAACATTAAAGATAAACACAAACACTTCTTTTTCCTCTGCTGGGAGGGATTTGGTTGGTTTCTTCGGTTTACTTTGTAATGCAGATTTTAACTAGTTTTTACCATAGATTGCAGACAGATAGACAGACAAACAGATAGATAGACAGACATATAGACAGACAGACAAGCAGACAGATAGACAGAGAAGCAGACAGATAGACAGACAAGCAAACCCAAATACATAATGATACAAGAGGATGGAATGGTATTTTGCATGCATGTTTTTAAATAACTATTAAGCTAAGCAATGCTACTCAACAGATCAATGCTATTTTGCATGTATGCTACTTGACAGAGCAAACTATTACACTGAGCAATATTGCTTAACAGAGCAATAGCATTTTGCATGTATGCTACCAAATAGAACAATTTATTACGCTGAGAAATGCTGCTCAACTGAGCAATGATATTTTGCATGCATGCTTTTTAAAAGAGCAAACTATTGAACTGAGAAATGCTGCTCAACAGAGCAATGACATTTTACATGCATGTTTTTTTAATAGAACAAACTATTAAGCTGAGCAATGCTGCTTAACAGAGTAATAGTATATTGCATGCATGTTACTGAATATAGCTATATATAGCTATATATATATAATATAGCAATGATATTTAACATATGTGCTACTTAATAGAGCTATCTTTCAAGCTCAGCAATGCTGCTTACCACGCAAAAGAGAAAAATTGGTCGCTATTCCCTCAGGACTAAATTTTGAACGTGTGACAGGATTCTTATCTCTAAGATCCTTATGATTTATTAACTCTCATTGAAATACTGGTCAAAATGCCAACAATAGAAGTTAGAAGAGTAAGATATTATGAGGGACGGGTCACCAAGGGTTAGATTGTGTACGGATACAATAGATCGGAACCTCTAGAGCTCTGGGTGGCAGGATGTGCGAGACAGGAGCTAAAAATAACCACAATGATTCCTAAATACCGGAACAAAATCCTTCTATAAACAGAACTTGAAGGAACGCGCCACACAATAAAGAAAAATGGCGTCCAAAATGTAAACAACATAGCGACATGCCTTCTCAGCTTTAAAATATCCTTTGACTCATTTCGCAAGCTCAGGATAAGACAGGATAGGACAGGATAGGACAGGATAGGACAGGATAGGACAGGATAGGACAGGAAAAATATCTAAAATGAGGGGGTGGATATATAGGTTACATATTAACCACAAGTAGAAATGACATTTAACCACAATAATGCCCTAAACCCAACATTCAAGGCAGAGAGGGGACCTGTACTACGCTTTATAAACATTTAACATTTCTTTTTCCATAAAACCTGACAGTCAGACATAGATTTGCACCTTTGCAAAAGTGTTAAAATATTTTACAAAGATTTTCTGCCTTTGTAGAGAATAATTGAAAAGTCAATTTGTGTTGACAAAAGACAGCAATCAGGCAGTCACCAAGCTACAGGTGGATTCAGGCAGTTTAAACATATGCTTCGGCACATGGCACAACAAAAACTAAATATTTTAGCCACAGAAAATCAAGGCGCTTTGTGCCCTCCTTCAATATGATAATGTTCACAGATCTTTATTGATAAGAGACACGAGCTTCAATTTTGTATAAGACATGGCTCCAAACAATATAATATTTAATAATTTTCAATTTACAATTTTTACTTTTTGAATTTTTAACTGTTTCTAATTTCTTGTTTTTAATACAATAAAACTGCACAAGTTTCAATTAAATTTTTGATTGAAAAACTTAAATATGTATCGATATCAATTTGATAATAGAAAAATGTTTAAATATATAAAAAAAAAGTTTATGAAATTTTATTTTTGATATTTGCGGTTTAAAATCTATAAAGTATATGAAAATGTGAAAAGATGATATATCAACCTAAATTCTTTAGTTCTTTATTCTTAAGTGCCTTATACTTATCTTTTAATTACTTATCCTTCTGTTCCTCGTCCTTCAGTTCATTATCCTTCAGTTCCTTATCCTTCAGTTCATTATCCTTCAGTTTCTTATTCTTCACTTCCAAATTCTTTAGTTTCTTATCCTTTAATTCCTTATCCTTGTTTCTTATTCTTCAATTTCTTATCCTTCAGTTCCTTATACTTCAGCTCCTTATCCTTCAGTTCATTATCCTTCTGTTTCTTATTCTTCACTTCCAAATTCTTTAGTTTCTTATCCTTTAATTCCTTATCCTTGTTTCTTATTCTTCAATTTCTTATCCTTCAGTTCCTTATACTTCAGCTCCTTATCCTTCAGTTCATTATCCTTCTGTTTCTTATTCTTCACTTCCAAATTCTTTAGTTTCTTATCCTTTAATTCCTTATCCTTTAATTCCTTATCCATTAATTCCTTTTCCTTTAGTTTCTTATTCTTTAATTCCTTATCCTTTGATTCCTTATCCATCAGATCCTTATCCAATAGTTTCTTTATTCTTTAATACCTTATTATTCTTTATCCCCCAGTTCCTTATTCTTCAGTTTCTTTTTCTTTATTTTCTTATCCTTTAATTCCTTATACTTTAATTCCTTATCCTTTAGTACTCTTATCCTTTAATTCCTTATCCTTTGATTCCTTATCCATCATTTCCTTATCCTTCATTTACTTATCCTTCATTTACTTATCCTTCATTTACTTATCCTTCAGTTCCATATTCTTTAGTTTCTNATCAAGTAAATTTTAACAACTACCAGAAAATCTGAAAACATACCAGAAATCAAGTAAATCTGAACACATACCAGAAATCAAGTAAATCTGAACACATACCAGAAATTAAAAATATTTTCTTTTCTAAAGCTCTACAATAAGAGGAGTTATGATTCAAATTTGACGTGCAATCTACTTCAGTCTCACGTAAAAGAAAAGTCTAAGTTTAAAATATAAAAAGTTTACCATCAGGTTATGAAGACATTGGGATTAGAAAACTGTAAGGTTCAATTCCTTTTGTAAAATGTTCTAAATATTATTATTCCAAGGACAGTTATAACCTTACAATATATTTGGTCAAACAGCCCATTTAAACTGTTCTTTGTATACACTGCACAATATATGTAAATCCGTAAATATATAAATAATACAAACATGGCTTTCAGACCCAGTTAATGTCTTGCTGGTTTAAACACGACCTTACGCCTTTAAAATGAGTTTTTGCCAACATGTTCTAGTCAGGGGTCCATATAATTCCCAAAATAGCTGATTTTCTCGATCCCAAAATAATTTTTTGCCCCCAACTTAAAAAAAAATGCCCCCAATTAAAAAACATTTTCTAATTCCACATTTGCCCCCAATTTAAAAAAAATGCCCCCAATTTTTTTTTAAATTATCATTTTAAAATAATTTGCCCCCATTTCTTTCAAATTTGTCAATCCCAAATGGGATTGAAAAAGGAATTATATGGACCCCTGGTTCTAGTCCGTATATCTTCAGAACTGCGAAACATAATGTACGATTTCTCAAAAACATTATTTCTAAAAGCTTGAGTTGTAGAGCCCTATATTTCTTTAGTTATCATTAAAATGCAAAGAAAAAAAAGCATCGAAACATTCCGAAAACTCAATTTACATGAACAATGTTCCAAAATAAAACAACTTGATAAGAAAAAAAATCATTCATGAATTATTAGTTCTAACAAAAATGGATAAACACACAAAAAACTCCGAAGCCCTTTACTTTCTTTTACCGCACTGCTATGATAAGTTTGGTCTAGAAAACCAATATTAAACACTGTTATGACTTGGTTTTTAATGCAGTATATATCAAGGGGAAAAAATCAAAGGAATAAGAAACTACAATCTTAAATTTGTCAAGCCAATTTTTTCAACATTTTTAAATTTGATAGTTGTTCTCTGTTAATTTTTATACATATATGATATTGTGTTCAATAAAATCTTTTTATTTCTAGCCTTTAAACGATAAAGAGCTTAAAAACCTCCTTTATTTTTTGTCTTGTTTTTAAATTTCTTATCCAAACATATTTTAAACAATAATCTTTCTCTGTTAACCCTAATTTTGATCTATATGTTTTCAATAAATCGTTATATTTCCAACCTTTAAACGAAAAATAACTAAAAAAAACTTCCTTTTTTTACAGCATTTCCTATCCAAATATACGTTTAAACGATAATCTTTGGTATATAAACTCTTTTCTTTTCTAACCTTCTTTTTGATAAAACGTTTCTGTAATCTTTACAACATACATTCTTGGAATAAATGAATTGGATATTACAAAATATTTTTTATTTCTGAATAAATGAGAATAAGAATATACATCTCTGGACTGTAGTGTATAGTGTATATTGTATAATGTATAAATTAACGAGGCATATCACAGATAGAAGGATTGCATTAAACCCAAGGACGGGTTTGGGTGGTCCCATGCTCCGGGTACAAGGTTTAATATAGTAGGATGGATTAGTTATTTCTCCGGGTACTTTGTACTAGCTAGTAGGATGAATAAGTTACTTCTCCGGGAACAGTTAACAGGTTTGACTCTTCTCCGGGTCCACAAAATAGTAGGTTGGATTGATCATATCTCCAGGTAAGGACTAGCAGACCATGGACTCTGTGGCTTGAGGAACATGAAAATCCTGCAAACTACTGCTGCACTCACTTAAGGGTGGAGAAGGAAAGCAAGGATCGACCTGGTAATCGTGAGATCCAAAATCTCCAGGATGAAGTGGAGGAGAGGAATAGGAGTTGGGGAACTCACAAGGAGGCATACTTTGCTCTGCAGGGAAACTAAATCCTCCGAACTCAAAGTTGTGGCAATCCTGTGGAGGGAACGGAGATCTAAAATCAAAAGCCATTGCATTCGGAGGGAATGACATTGGATGAAGAATCCTCCGATGGTTCGGAGGCAGGAAGGGCATCCTCCCAGGATGACCCATGAACTGAAGCTGGTGGATTCTCTTCTGTTTACTCCGCTTGTTCTGGAACCAGACCTGGATCACACGCATAGGTAACCCTGTCTCTTTGGCTAGCTGTTCTCTCATTAACCTCGTAGGTTTAGGATTCTGATCAAAACAGGTTTTCAAAACTTCCAGCTGTTTAGCTTTAATAGTTGTTCTTGGCCCGCGTCTTTTACCGTCCTTTCCTTCCTTCTTATCGTCGTCTTTGTCATAATCGTCTCCATCATCCGGGGAGCCAGGGTCTTTGCTGTCCTCGTCAAATGACTTTTCGTCCTCATCAAGGAGTTTCTTTAAATCGTCCGAGGACACTTCGCTTTCTATTCCAGAGTCAGCGTCCGTCTCCTCCGTCCTCAATCCTAGTTTCGTATCAGCTGAGAGGTTTAGCTTGTTCTCCAGGTAGTCCTTTTCACAGAGAAGGTTTCCCAGATGATCCAACCCAACCTGCATTCCTTTATCTAGTCCTTTGCAGCACCTGGAGCATTTAAAGCACTCCAGATGGAACTGACTGTCTCCGATATTCCTAACGTCCTGATCTTGTGAGAAAACTATATGACAAGCTGAACACCTTGGTCCAAACATTCTGTAGAAATCCTGTTTGCAGTAGAACTGTCCCCATTTAGTAAAGCAGGATTCTGTAAGCATATCCCGGCATACTGCGCATCTCATACAATCCTCATGTAGAGCTAAAGATCCGCATCTAACCACGAATTTATCAACAATACTCTGCCCGCACTCTGCACACTCTGTCATGTTTATTGCGCGGTAGTTCGCTGATAACTACTGTGTTTAGCTGACAGGGACGGTAGGCCGGTAGGTGGCGGCCTCACATCATGAATTTGGACCAATGAGAGATCTTCTTGAGGAATCCTCGTCTCTGATATGTGGAGACCTCAGCGGCCGCCACCCAAACACATAGATAGATGTAATGATAAGCAGATACATATGTAGATTTAGTCTGTTGAGCACAGAAAGATAGGGAAACGTACGTAAGATAGATAGATAAATATAGGCACAAGCAGATAGAAAAATCTAGGCTTTGATAGATGGATAGGATAATGAGAGGGGGACAAAGTTAAAAAATGTAACAATGAATTGATAGAAAATTTACAAATTCATAAAAAGAAAAAGTTCTAAAGTCCTTCTCTCTGCTGTGCAAGGTCTTGAAAATATTCTTCTTCCCTCAAAAATGTTCTTACAATTGTCCAATTCAAATTTCAATCAATTCTTGACTCGACACCCCCCGGACCCCACTCTTCTAAATACAACTATCTAACCTAGTTGAAATTTTATCCCATAGCTGATACTTTCAATTCAAACAAATTTTCTTAGTTTGTTCCTTAATAAATCTTCATAATATCTCTTAATCTAAACCTTGTTAAATTACATGGATTTAACTATAGACAGATGGAGAAGGTAAATTTTATGCGACATCGCTGGTACGACTTTGTGACCTCGTGGCTCCTATAGTTATGATTTTACTCACAAGTATGAGAAAAAGGAGGTATGGAATTATGAAATAAAAAACTGACGCTTTATTAGCTTATTTGTGTTTGTGTATCCACCATTCTTTACACCCTGTATTATACTTTATCTCTACATTAATCCCTCTGATATCACCCTGCCACAGATCACCTGACAATCTCCTTCCTTCCAATTAACTCCCTACCATATCAAAAAACATAATTTGATGTGTTTAACCTATTATATTCAGTATCGTTAACTAACTTAGGGCTAACCACTCAAAACAACCTACCATGGTTAGGCGGGTCCAAACTGCATAGTAAATTGTGATTGCTTAAGTGTAATATCCATGCTTTGTAGTTGAATAAAAATATGAATGAATGATTAACCAAACAGGTTTCAATCCTACAGGCAATTTACTTTAGTTTAAAGTGTGATGGCCGGCTATATGTAGTTTCATTGGAATTGTTTCTTTAATTCTTTTACTAAAACTATTTGAACCAAAATTATTAAAAATATTACTTAGTTTCAAGAGATAAGATGGTCGGTCGGAGGTAAATAAGTTCATCTTGTATGTTTATAAACTGTACAACAACATAAAATACAAATAATATTGTTTAAATATTGTCTTCGTATTCCAGAGTTTTATGGATCCCACTGTACTAGACTAGCTATGTATATTTTAAGTGAAGAAGTATTTGTATATTTGCTGTGAGATGCGTATCTTGAGATTCAATTCTAAGATATAAATAAACTGATAAATAGATACAAATTTCTTGCTGGGAGGAAGGGAAGAGGGGGGGAAGGGTTACAAATGGGATGAGAGGGGAAGGGTAGAAGGGTTGCAGACGAGAAAGGTGGGAGGGAAAGAAGTGTTACCGATGGGAAGGAGGGATAGGAGAGATGGGTTCATACGTAAGTGGTGCAAAGAGAAGGATGGGAAGTGAAGGAGGGGAAGTCTTGGTAGAGATTGGAAGAGAGGTAAAGGAGAAACGGGCAACAGAGTAGAAGGGAGGGAAAGGAGATAAGGGTTACATATGGAAAGAGAAAGAAGGGAGAGAATGGTTACACATGGGAAGAGAAGAAAAGAAAAGAAGGGTTAAATATTGGAAGAGAAGGAAAGGAGAGAAGGGATACATATGGGAAGAGAAAGAAGGGAGAGAATGGTTAGACATGGGAAGAGAAGAAAAGAAAAGAAGGGTTAAATATTGGAAGAGAAGGAAAAGAGAGGATGGTTACATATGGGAAGAGAAGGAAACGAGAGAAGGGTTACACATGAGAAGAGAAGAAAAGAAATGAAGGGTTAAATATTGGAAGAGAAGGAAAGGAGAGAAGGGTTACATATGGGAAGAGAAGGAAGGGAGAGAAGGATTACATACGGGAGTGATGAAAGGAGAAAAGTCTTACTGATGGCAAGAGAAGGAGGGGACGGTGGGGCAGAAGATGAGCAAAATGAGTCAGATTGGAAAGGGTGTGTTCAGAGGGTGCCATCTGAGTACAATGATATTATCAGTGATGTCTGGTTGTAAGACAGAAGTTAGAAAAGTAGGGGCTTTTGAGAGATAGATAGATAGATAGATAGATAAATAGATAAATAGATATATAGATAGATAGATAGATAGATAGATAGATAGATAGATAGATAGATAGATAGATAGATAGATATATAGATAGATAGATAGATAGATAGATAAACAGATAGATAGATAGATAGATAGATAGATAGATAGATAGACAGACAGATAGATAGATAGATAGATAGATAGATAGATAGATAGATAGATAGATAGATAGATAGATAGATAGATAGATAGATAGATAGATAGATAGATAGATTGATTGATAGATAGATAGTTAGCAGATATTTTTCTTTTTTAGATCCAAGTTTTTATCCAACAAAGAATAAACCAAGGTTGAATAAACCAAAGATGAATAAACCAAGGATGAATAAACCAAGGATGAATGAACATAGGATGAATAAACCAAGGATGAATAAACCAAGGATGAAGGAACCAAGGATGAATAAACCAAGGATTAATAAACCAAGGATGAATAAACCAAGGATGAATAAACTAAGGATGAATAAACCAAGGATGAATAAACTAAGGATGAATAAACCAAGGATGAAGGAACCAAGAATGAAAAACCAAGGATGAATAAATCAAGGATGAATAAACCTAGGATGAAGGAACCAAGGATGAATAAACCAAGAATGAATAAACCAAGGATGAATAAACCATGTATGAATGAACCAAAGATTAATAAACCAAGGATGAATAAACCAAGGATGAATAAACCAAGGACGAATAAAGCAAGGATGAAGAAATCAAGGATGAATAACCAAGGATGAATAAACCAAGGACGAATGAACCAAGGATGAATAAACCAATGACGAATGAACCAAGGATGAATAAACCAAGGATGAATAAACCAGGGATGAATGAATGAAGGATGAATAAACCTAGGATGAATAAACCAAGGATGAATGAATATGAATGAAGGATGAATAAACCAAGGATGAATAAACCAAGGATGAATGAATGAAGGATGAATAAACCTAGGATGAATAAACCAAGGATGAATGAATGAAGGAACGAATAATAAATTGCTCCGGGAATAAATCAGCTGTGTTAAGTTTATGAGACTCCAACATGCAGCTATTAGATGTTTACAATCTGATATTTTCCTCCCCCCCCTCCCTCTCATCACCTCTGGGCCCTGATTTCTTCTATGTTCGCTGGCTTGATTTTTATACGCCCCAAGTTCCCTGACCCAAAGCATATTTAGGACTTGGTACCAGCACAATTTAGGGATAATTAGGAGGTTGGTGGGTTTCAGGAGCTAGATATCTCACGAAATAGAGTAAATTGAAGAATCAATGGATGGAAAATGGTTGGATGAATTTATTAATGAATGAAAAATAATGGTATGGAAGGGATGGATGGGATTATATCACTTTTGAATGTATGAATAGGATGAGTTTATCATAGGCTATGATAAAATTCATAGGATGGATGGGATGGATTGGACAGAATGAATGAATGTTGCATGGTATATTTAGATAGAATAATTAGACTTTACAAAAAGAAAAGAACTTGTATCCGACAGTTGAAACCTTTGTTCAACTATATTTTTAAATCTTGTGAATTTAAATCTCAAAAGCAACATGTTTGCATGAAGTTAGGTACCTGAGAGAAAACAACCTGGGAACTACGGATAAAAATAAAATTTGCTAATTTGGTTTCAAAATATTTTACTTCAGGGTTTCTGAACTCAGGTACAGATTTTCTCCTGGTGTCCTGTTTTCTGTATTCTCATCCTAGTTTTCATGATAGAACTGCAGTATTCTGGTTTTTGGTCCTCTTGTAGTAATGTTTACTAGTTTACTAGTTACTAGTTTTACTAGTTGTATCCTAAGACCGAATTTAAAGAATTTAAGCCAGGTCTAAACCTGACTGAACTGCCAACCGCCGATGCAGTTTTGAACAACCGATTTAAATCCTTCTTTCATCGTTAACTTTCAATAGTGAAGACGACTTTCCATTTCTATTTCAACTTGCTACCAATCTTTCAAACAGCAGAAAAATATAATATGTCAACAAAGAGAAGCTGTCAATTAATAGCTTCTCTTTGTTTACTTGTAAACTTGTAATTTGAATAATGCTTGTTAGAGATCAAAACATCACTCACAAAAAGTCGCCTTTGTTGTAATGATATAATCGCCGACCATACTGGTTGTCTTGGTATCATGGTATACTAATTTTCAAGTGATTATATCAAAAAGATATTCAAGTATACTGGTAAGGAATATCCTGATATATTTTGCTGTTATCCTTTGCTCGCGGTATCCCGTTGCTAAACACATTTTAAATATTCTCTACAGAATCACAGGAAGGTAGAGATACATGAAACAGTAGGAGAACATTTAAAATTCATTACACTCAACCTCTGTTCTTAAACCTTTCATTGTGGGAATTACTTAAATATAACTTGGAACATTTTTACAATCTGCATTATGTGATGAATATTATATTTTCATCATTGTTTGATAATTAACAACTACAGCTTCAAAGAATATGAACAAAGCCACATGGTTTAAAAAGGTTTAAACAGAGGAGAAGTATTTTGGACAAAATCAAAATTGTTACGTTTTTACAAGTACACTGCTCTATAACTTCTCAACCTGATCTATGACAACCTGGGTACCCCTTGTATACTATCCTGAACCCTGCTCTAGGTATCCCTAGTATACTATCCTGAACCCTGCTCTAGGTATCCCTAGTATACTATCCTGAACCTTGCAC